TCTCTCTCTCTCTCTCACTCTCACTCTCTCTCTCCCGTTGGAGCGTTTCATCCGTTGCAAACTAACTCTCCAATAAATCCATTCAACGTACACGGGGACCAGAAGAATGATGAGGAGAGCTTCCCTTGCCGCGAAATATAGGGAATAAGAGAACACGGAGCTGTAAAGCGAAATGAAAAGTGCTCGAACTACACAAGTTGTTTTGCAAGGTTTATTAAATCGGAACATTATAGAAAGTTATGTAATTATTCTGAATCAATTTTAAGATTTATGGATTTAACCGTATTCCTCGGCTAATTTTAAGTATGTAGATCCGCGATAAAAGTTTTTTATTTAAAACTTCGTTGCACCAAGATATATATATTTACACGGAAAGAGTAATTTTGAAGAAATATTAAAAAATTTTGGGTAAATAACGGATCTGAAAATAATTTTATTGGACCGCGTCAAAATATTTATATACGAAATTTAAACGTGAAAGAGCAACACCGCAAAAAGTTTTTATATTTTAACAGCTAACTTGAGCGTCCTACACTTTTAGCGTCCTTTACTCTTTTTTTTTTTTTACGTCAGCAAAACTGCAGAATTCAAAGATCGCAAAGAGGTAGTGGACAAAATTCTTGCGATTTTAAATTATCTAAGAAATCACTATTAAATGTTCAACGCGCATTTTTTTAACTGCCGATGAAAACTGCTTCATTTGCGATAGTCAGATGAGGAGTGTGCCAATTTCGATAATATAGCGAAGGTGAGACGTGTCTTGCGGAAATGTGCGAGCACCGCGATGACGCGTATGATTATTGGCTCGTGTTTCGTGACCAGTACGTTTTTGGCTCGCGAAATCACACTCGACGAGACAAGCTGAATGACACCGGTCTGCTGATTCACGATATCGATACTACGATGTGGCAATATTCATTCTTGCAAAACGGAGCGCATACGCCAAACGATATTCTTCGCATATACCTAATTAACGATATCTTCTCTCTGTACATGTAAAAGTGACACCTCTTGGAACAACTTGTGCGAAACATATATCTCGATGCGTACTGATTACGATTTTTCGGCTCAACCTGCATTCGTGAGAGTTTACGTGGGAGATGTAAATGACTCTGATGTTAATGACGTCACTAAAAAACCGCAAACTGCACGATGTTTTGCACCGTGTTTTATAAATAGATGTTTTATAAATATATGATTCGTCATACACAAGTTTGTTGAAAGCTGCTATTTAGAAAATAATATCAAAGGTCGAATGTATAATACATTTTGTAGAGCCGGAGGGATGATTTAGACGTTTTGCCAGAAGCTTGAAAACGTTGCGTTAAAACATTGCGTTAAAAAATAGGATGATTAATGTAGTAAAGCTGTTCTTAAGCAAATACATTTTGTGTTAATACAGCTGAATATATCATTTTATGTTCAAATTGGTATGATATTTCCTTCAATGGATCTTGTAATATAAAAAAAACTATCGTATTCTTCTTGGAATTAATAGCTATCTCCGCTCGAGAGGGATGTGGAATGTAATAATAATTGAAATTACTGCTATATCCATTGGCTGCTCCTGATTGTCCCTCAACATTTCCCCAAGAAACAAAGCGTACGCGTTGCACTTGTGCACGACTGTCCTCCCGACGGTGGGGGGGGGGGGGGACCCCTTATACTTGTCGGAAACAATAGGCATTATGTGTCGCGGCACACGCGCGCGACAACGGCTTTTCCTCCCCCTCTGACTTGTTCGAACTAGTTATAACCGCTGTTCCTACGTGCCGCTGACGAGGAGAGCAACAATTACGTTAATGCATTGTCCCATGTTCCGGCGCTTAACGACTCGGCGCCCCCATCGACGTTTTGCACTCTCGCAGATTGAATTAAATCGAATTACGGGAAGTCGCGCGTTAAAATCATTGTCATGCGAATTGCATTGTCGTAGTTATCCTGCGATTCATCGTCTTAGCCTAAGTCGAAATTGAGAAATTAAGCATTTCGATTGTAACACACCGCACACGATGCGCGCGCTCCGTTGTTAGAGTCTGAATTAAACTAGATAAAAAAACATAAATCATTTTTTTGACATTTATGCACGACTTCTTGCGTCTACCTAATATATTAAAAATCTCTTTCTATCGTTTAACAATAATGGAAGTCTAATTTTCGACGAGAAATCATTTTCTCTCCCTGTATCGAGAGATTTCTCATCTCGGATAAAGATCGTTTGATTTAATTGAATAGAGATGACTACTTACCGGTATCGTTGTCTCCTGGAACCCCGAGACTGTCGCTATTGTCATTGATGAAGGCCTCCGCCGTTGACGTGAAGGTTTGAGGTGATAGCGTGAGATCCGGCCCGCTCTCACTATCAAATAACTCTAAGTTCCCATTTCCTGAAACACGAAAGTAAAATATTAAATCGTTAATATCATTATGTCTCGCATTATATGTAGAAACTTATATCATAAATAAAGTTAATTGATTGTTCTTATGGATCTAAATGCAAAGTAAAAAAAATTAACAATTTATTAACTGATTGATTAATTATAATTCATTAATTACTTAATCAACGGAATAATTTTTTATCACATGTAACTCCTCGCTTATCTGAGAATATTAAGATAACGCTTATTCGATTGACGCAATAGCAAATGTAAGAAGTCTTTCAACATTCTATACACATTTTGGATAAATTTGTCGATATGGAATAAAAATTTTGAATATATTTATCAATGCAAAGATTGTTTATATATATATTTATTCTGAATATATATATAATATATATTCATTATTCCAAATATCCCATATATTCATTCAAGGTAAATATAGTTTTTAATTGATGATAAATATATTTATAGTGAATATTTCTATTTCGACTTCGTCAACCCTAGTTCTAGGATTATCTATATTTGTAATACAATAACAATAGCGTGGAATTCAAAAATAAAGATACATGACTCAGAGAACGTAACTGACTGTTCACGTAAAATCTCTTTCGACGCTGATTTCGATTCGTCTCAATGCCAACCTTACGGAATTTTGAGGTTGACAGGTGACCGGCGTTGACAAACGAACGAGATTCTTCGCGCGCTAAAAGTGCGTACCACAAAAATAACTTTCTATAAACGAGTCGCGACGCGTTTCTGCACAGTTACTCAGAAAATCATAGTCACCGACTTTTTCGAGAATTATCTGCAAATTAGGAGAGACACATTCATGTGTCGATAAAATCATTCTATTTCTCGATACTTTCATTGACGTGTATTTCTAAAAGCGATATAAAAATATCTCGAGAAACGACCATTTAAAAATAATCGTTAAACATGCGTTACATATTTAAATTTAAGACACTCATCGATCGTTGATCGTATTGTTATTCTACTATCAACGGGCGACAAAATTATTATCCGTTACAAGTTAAACGAGAATTTCTCAGTTGCGTAAGAGCAGCGTAGCATAGCTTGCATATCTTTCGCATATCTCGCCACTACACGGCAACAACGCTGGAGCACACTTGAAAGATCTCGCAGGCAGTGAAGATCTCTCAAGACTCCGGATGGTTTCCGTGATACAACAAGGATATACGGCTATGTGGCCAAACTTTGTGCATTTTAGAGTATCAGCTACTTTCATTAAGTGCATTTACTTCAAAGTTCATTACATTCCGATCAAAACAACATCGATTTTTAGTTTAGATTTCTAATCAATGTGATCGATAAAAGAAAAGTCACAAAGTCTAAAAAAAAAAAAAAGAAATAGATGCAAAAACTTCTCTTCTATCAAAATACAACCGTAGATCTTTGACAAAATTTATATGAACGTTTTTATTCCTCATTCACTATGAAGAATAAGAAACGAGGCAAGAAACGAGCGATACTTGGATCGAAACAACGTTTCCTTCAAAAACCGTAGTAAAATCGAGATCGATAAAGAAAAATACGCGCTCGTACTCGGTTCGATGAGGGATTGAGAATTAACTCGGTTAGGAATCAGCACGATTTTACGATGTATTAAAATTCAAAGAGCGCATTCGGCGAGCGCGTGACTTTGCGGCGCAAAGAGCACTGCGTCGTCGTCGTCGTCGACGCGGCGTCTTCATCCGCGTCGATTCGTACTGACAAGTGCGACGTGGCAAGTGCGACAACGTTACGACGACGACACATTCGAAGAAGCCCTGCACACGAATGCAGGACGAATGGCTCCTTACTCGTAAATATTTGACGACAATTTGATCTGCACGAGTCGGGACTTAAATCCCCTCGAGGATACGGACCGAAAGCGGCTTACGGAAGCCGACTCCGTCGTCCGTGGTTTTCGACCTGTCCTCTCATCATCGGACTTACACATCTCGAGACTCGCGGAAAATATATCGATTGCGAATATCGATAGACAACGTAGACGTTGATCCGCACGAGTAACATTGTTCAGAGGCTACCCCCAATATATATCCTAATAAGCCTCAATAATAACACAAAATCGCATTCTCTCGAATCAGTCAATTGACGTTGGTAGTCAATAGAACACCGATAACAATAGTCGATGTTGCGGGCAAATATCGTTTTCTGCTAAAACCGACCAGATTCAGGCTTTATACCGATGGATATATTTTGTACACGTCAATAATAATATTGACACACATTAACCCCGGTATAATAGTGTTATAACATTACATAATAACCAAGCGACGTTGTCATGATACCGCACGTAATTGTTTATTTGTTGTTAAGCCAAAGAGATAAATCAATTCTTATAGAGAAAATATTCTTTTTCTCAGAAACAT